TCTTTATTCACCTTTCTCTCTCTATCTCGCCCGCTGGCTCTGTCTCTTTCGCACTCTTTAGCCGGGTACTAGTGCATTTTTCCTCTAAGCTGTGACATTTTTTATGGCCTGAGCTGATGTTTTGACCTACTAATTTAATGATGCTAAATGGTGTGGCAGTTGATTGCCGAAGCATGCGGGCATTGCAGGCGCCACACCCACCCTCGCACTCTGCGCGGGATGCGGTGGTGGGAGGTGTGAGAAAAGCTCGAGTTGTGCGTCAAGTGCCGCAAATGAAAGAAAATTATATTTATTGCTTAGGCTCTGGACCTACGAGCTACCCAAGTAATGCAGTTCAAGAGCTACACATTTTGCTTGTTATTTCTGAGAATCTTTAAGTATTCCTATTTAGATTTAGATCTTAGTTTTTGTTTGTCTTTCAATGATTCTCTTAAAAGAATCTCTGGCAACCGGCTTTTCAGTTTGTTTCTAATATATATCTCAAAGCTTAGCCGCCTTGCCATTTCCAGTTTCATCTTCATCAAAATCCTCTTAGACCTCATGCTGTCTCAAAGTTGGAGCGCATTTTAGTGCTCTTCGAGGTAAGCAGATTCATCTCCGGTTGGATTTCACACCGTGGCTGGCAGTTCCCCAGGTGCCTGGTTGGCAGCGGCTCTGGCCATGGCCAAAAGGAAGTAATCCATTCTACGGGCAGTTTTCAATATCACTTTCAGCGACAACTTCCTGCGCGTCGCATCATCAAAAACTGTTGGCACTTTGCATACAAATGTGGCCCGGGACCGTGGCAAAACTTATCGCAACATTTTAATAACTGCCGGCAACAGTAGCCAACTCCATTTGTTGCTTTTGCCTCAGAGCAGGCTTTGCATCGGGCTGAGCCTGAGCCTGAGCCTGAGCCAGAGCCATGGCAGCTTTCATTAATTACCAAGAAAAGCGAGTTTTTTATGCCGCTGCACTTTTCCTGCCAGTCAGCCAAGTCAACTTCGCTCAAATCTAAGTAGTCTATATATAATTATTTTTCCGCAACTGGCCAGCACGTCAACAGGTTGGCTTTGGCCCTAACTGGGCAGGGCTTCTGGCTCCAGCTGGTGCTGTGGATGCGGTGGATGCGGCTGGTTCTTATCTAGCGTCAACATCACGCAACATGCGCGTAATTTTATGAATGAAGTGCTCGCTGCCGGCCAGGATTCGACTCGTATTCGTACTCGGAACTGGTCAGGCAGGCTCTTAATTGCACTCGCACCTATTTTTTACAGCATCAGCAGCAACAGCAGAGTAGGAGCCAGGCAGGCAGACGGGCAGCAGTAACAACAGGCAGCAGGCAACAGTTTGTCAGCCAGGTTAACAAATTGCGTTAAAGCGTTGCAGCTATCGTAAACCGGTTTTCTGCACATCTGTGCCTTCTTCTGGCGCACTTGTTGCATCAACAACAACAGCAACAACAACAGCAACAACAACAGACAGCCATCACATGAACCTGGCCAAGATGCAGCACTGAACGATGCCTTTTCACTTGCTGACTGCGACGCGCTTATTAAATATGATTATGCGTTCGATTGCAGTCAGCTTGTAGTTTGGGCCTCGCCACCAGAGACTGGGCCCAAGCACAGGAAGTGAAGCCGCGCCAGGCGTCGTCACATTGGCAGTCATGCTTAGAACATGCCTAGAACCAAGCGAATGTACAACCCACCAATTCCCTGCCCCCAGCCCCCAGCCCCCAGCCCCCTGCCACAATTCATGGCCTTGGCTGGCAACGGCTGCTGCCAACTGCTGCCCACTTTTAATGAAGTTTTCCGTTTCGTGCCGCCATTGGCTTTACTAGCTGCCTCTTGGCTCTCGTCGTATGTAGCTTCTATAATACACTGCAATAAGAGCATGGATTTGATAAGGCGAGCGCAGAAATATATACATAAGTAAATTTGTAATTACAAGCTGTTTAAATCTAAGTTATAATGGTAATAAATTGAATAAAAAATATATTGAACTAGCGAACGGGAAATGCTAGCATTCAAAATAAAATACAGCATCATCATTTTAATCAATCTAATATGACATTATTACAGGCATGTTCAAATATTATTCTTGAAAAAAATTCGCAAGAATCAAAAACCAAGTTATTATACATTTTGGCAATTTCCTTTTAATTTAATTTAACTACAGATTGAAATTGTCGCTTTGAGGATATGTTCAGCAATTTTTCTAAAACATAGTTCACGATTAATTTCGTGAATACATTTTTTTTAGATAAAAACACATCAATATACTTCCTGAGTCTTAGAGTGTAAGAGTATCGACTTTTTGGCGTATCCTTTTTTTTACTTCTTGCTCTTGTTTTGCAATTGTAAAGTCGAGTAAAATAAAAATCCATTGCCCGTTCAAATGTTTTAATTAAAATTTAATGAATTCACTGTATTTAATTATGCATTGTTTCTGTTTTGATGCTGTTGTTGTTTTTATCGTTGATTTTGTCGTTGTTGCTGTTACTGTTGACACTCGTTCTACGCACTTAAAGCATGCTGAAAATTAATTTTAATTATTTTGTTGCTGTTTGCTTCTGAGTGCAGCAAGTGGCAATCTAGGCGAGATTATAGGTTCCCATAATAGGCTACTAGGCAAGGGCGTTGCAATAGCAGGCAGCAGGCAACATGGTAATTAAAATAACATTTATTTCATTTTATTTGTAATGAAAACATATTCTATTATGCTCATATCATATTGCTGTGCAATTGCAATTGCAGCTATTTGAAATTGCAACTTTAATTAACTGAAATTTTACGGACTCGACACATAAACAAAAACTCGATTTAATAAACAAAGAAATCAAATGAAAGAAAACAAATCGAATCGGTTTTTGTGCATTACGAACTTTTTCCAACAAAATGGAAAGCGTAAACAAACTACAAACAAAATAGCAAGTAGCCATTTGGAAAGTAAAATACATTTTGTTAAACTCATTAATATTTAAATCAGAGTCGAGGACACGTTGACCTGCTTCCTCAAAATGGGACAATAGCCCTGCTTGCGCAAATTGTGCGATATAAACAATTTGCTTTGCATTAATATAGGTATATATATATATATGCAGAATTAAAATATGCAAATTGAAAAATAAAAAAAGTTGTAATATTTAATTTGCATTTTTTTTAATAAAAATATATTGTGATTTAGTAAACGTTGAGTTTATAGGTCCAAACTGCCATTACGTTTATTAAAAAAAAAGGTACATATACACGCTTTATTATTTTACTGTCATCTTTTAGTAGAAGGGAGACTGATTTCCATAAATACACATTACCAAAGGAACATAGAATGGATATATAAGCAGATATATTATTTATTAGATTGCCAATACATGCTATTATTATTATACTTAGCTTTTTTCGTAGCATGAAAGTTTTCTTTGAATTTATGAAAATCGCATAGTAGCGACATATTAAAAAATACGTTTTTTAATTTGCTGCGCAGCGGGGCAGTTTTAAAAGAGTAAAATAACTCTTGTCTGCGTTTGATATGAGAAAACATACCATAGCATATAAATCGAATGGTTAACCAAAAAATTACAACCTTTTTTCATCGATTTTTCATGTTTGCGAGTGGAATTTGCATAAAGGTTAACCATTGTAAATAAATTTAACTTCGTGCTGTGCGGTGATCACCAGTCTATCAACCGGATTGTCAATCAGTCAGAAAAAAACAGTCTTATATATACTTATACATATGTACTAGCGGGTCTAGCTCCGCCTTCCCGTGGCACGTATACAATAAATTCTCTCAAAGATCTTTGGGAATGATTTTGAAACCCATCTGACAATAAACAAATATCTTACATACAACCGTTTTATGCCAATTTACCATTGTTGCGGGTGAAATTTCCCAAATCGCTGAAATACGTATTCATTAAATTCATATGTAGAGCTTTGAAAATAAGTTTAAGGCAAATCGGACAAAACTTGAAACTTCACCAAAAAAATCTTTGAATCGCACTTTTTACAGTTTTGACTCCCCTTTTCACCAAGGAGGAATGCATTTTTCGAAAAGTGTAAAACACCACTCAAATGAATTTGAACAATGATCTTTGAAAACGAGATTGAGGCTTATCGAATGGTAAACAAAAAAGTTTCAGACGAACGTTTTTCGCGATTTTTGCACATATGAGAAAGGAATTTCCCGAAACCCGGACTTAACGTGCATCTTTATCACATAAGGTAACCAGAGGGAAAATTTCATAGATTTCCAGATAAATACCTGCTCTTGGCGTAGACAACATGGCATGCAAATGACTTAATTCTGGGGGCAGTGAAAGCTGGCCCAGACTAATTCTATGATCCGCTAATGCAGCCTCCATAAATTAAGAAATAAATATTATTAAATGTGTCATTAATTAAGCGGAGCAGCGACGCTATTAATTAATAAAATTTCTAAGCAAAAAGCCGACGCCGTTAAGTCTGGCCCCAAAAACAATTAGGCAGCATTTAAGGTGTAAGCCGGCACGCCTACCCAATGGAGCCCACAGCAAAAATGGTGGCACAAGAATGATGAACAAAGCCAAGCGCTGATTGATGGCAATAGACAAATTTGAGCTCTGCGGCCGAATCATGTGGCATAATGAAGCAGGTGGCTAGGCAACGGCGGCCATTCGTGGGCGTTAAGTATCCAGCGGGCATCCACAGAAATCCCATAAATGAGTTGGGTAGAAGAATATGTTGATTTTTAATTTTTAAAAATTTGTAAGTTATTTATTCAAATACTTTTGTTTGAAGTTACAAAAATTTGTTGTGGGTGTTTTTTTTTTGTATTTTTTTTTCGTTTTAAATATTTTGTTTTTCTTTGATGTGAAATATTTTAAATATTAATTTCATTAATTACATATATAATTTATTTAAATTTGATTTTATATAGTACACATGCTTATCTTGTTTAAATGCAAAGATCTGAAGTCTAAGTTTAATTAACATTTTATTTAATTTTCGCGTTTGTATTTCCCTTTTCTGTTTTTTTTTTTTTATTTAACATAATTTTTGGCGCTTGCGCGTTTACGCATATTTTATCATGTATATATTTTATTGTCATGCATGATAAAAAGTCGTTCGATTTGTGTAAATATGGTATATCATATATATGTTTGTGTTTGTATATGTGTATGCACTTATACTATTTTAAATTGGCTCTTAAATCTAACGAAAGTCACGCTTAAAAATATTTTTATAATTGAAATACGCTTAAGGATTTTCTTTTGTTTTCCTGTGATTTTGAATCGTTTGTTTTTCTTTTTTTATTTTTAAACTTTTTTTTGCTTCGAAAATCGTTACGCCTATTGGGCTTATATGAAGGTATATCGAGATATTGGTATGTCTAGAGCTTAAACTTGAACAACTGCTAATGAGAATGAGTCACGACTCAACAGACTCGTTAATATTTACGCTAAATGCTAAAAATCGTAATTGCTACTACTTAATATCAAGAAAAATGCCTACAAATTAATATTTGAGTGTTGTTTTGTATCCACTAATGCTGCTGCTTATTCTTCTTCTTTTTCTTTTTCTTTTTCTATTTCTTCTCTTGTCGTTGTTGTTGTTGTTGTATTAGTTGTATTTGTGTTTGTGTTGGTTGATGATGAGAGGGGGCAAGCATTTGTAGAGTGGGTTGCGCACCTGCCCCAAAGGCTAATCCATTGCCATTGGCATCAGCATCGCCATTGGCATCGGCATCGCTTCGATTGATTGATGTGGATCCAAGTTTTGATGTGCGTGCTGGGTATCATGATGCGGTTGGCCGAGTCGTGTCGACTCGGTTGGAGTGGAGTGGAGAGCCTTGGATACAGGTACTTATCACAGCCTTCGAGCGCCGCATGCAAATGTCTTTTCTCAAAATACATTCAACATGTTTCCTCCATTTGCGCTCCATAATAATCAACGTCATTTAGTAATAATTATAAACAGAAAACAAAAAACTTGCAACAGCAACAACCAAACCCCAGCAAAAAGCATCAACAAAAACCTCCTATTGACTGAAATCGACTCTATCTCAATTTCATTATGAGTATATCCGTTGTTGGTGTTGTTTCTAATTTTGGTGTTGGCTTTGTTTTGTGATGTGTGATGTCAATCAGTCCAGCTGGGCTTGGCTGGTGTTTGTTGTCTTTCGTCTTTGACGTGCTGCATGGTTTAGTAGGTCTGTCGAATAAATTCATGAGAAGAAGGGAGAAGAGCGAAAGAGAATAGGTATTAAATATAATAAGCCAGTATAAATAACCTAAAATCCTACCAACGAGGGGACGAGAGTCATTATATCTGGCTCTATTAAATGAAAATTTCTTCTCGGATAAGAAATAAATAAATTTAAATGAAATCTTTGACTTACCACTGGTGGATAGGACATGTATTTGTCGCTCATATTGAAGTAGGAGCCATCGGCTGGCGGCGCTGGCGATGGCGATGATATGTAACTGCCCTTGATGACCAATGAGGAGGCAGGCGATGGAGATGGTATATACAGGCCATTGGAGATCAGCATGTGATCATCCTTGGCGCGCATGGGCATGCCCTCAATCATGCCCGTTGCGCTGTTGCGTTGACTATGCCGCTTGGGATTGGGCAGCGTGCGCGTGAAATCTGGATTGCACAGCGGATAGGGTGGCGTGCACATAGAGCTCTCCTGGTATTTGGGTGGATATGCCGTCGACTGTATGATGTCCACGTTCTCGACGAGATATGTGGAAGCGGCCGCCTTCTTTTGCACGTCCGCCTGCAAAGCAGTGATGGGCAGCTGGTTAGGATTAGTCCAATCAGTCTGCAGTTCAATATTTGCTATTAGCTGTAGCCTATTTACCTTATAGACAGACTGATTGTCATCCTTGGAGTAGGCATCATCATTGCTGGGCTCCGTTTCGCCTTGTGACTTATTCTGCCGCCTTATAACAAACCAGGCTACAAGTGCAGCATTCAACACCAACAGCACCATGGCCGCGGAAGTAATGCCAATGATCATGACATTGGGCAGCTCATCCTTTTCGGTATACTCCGCAGAATGTGGTTGAGAGCCCTTGCTAAGGGTGAGCTTGATGTCCGGCAGAAATTTGCTGCCGCCCGCCTCATTGTGCGCCATCACAGAGTAGAAGTAAGTGCCGCCGGGCTTTAGACCCTCCAGTGTGATGTTTTGTTGGCCTACCTTGGCGTCCATGTACTTGTATTTATCCTCACCCTGCTGCTTGAAGCGAACGCGATAATACACCTGCATGCCGCCGTCAAAGCCAGGTGTCCACATCAGCTCCACGCTCGTATCGCTGACATTGCCCACCCGCAGCTGCAGAGGCGTATCCGGCCGCGTTGGCTTACTAAACTCCAGAGTTGTACTGGCCTGACCCATTGAATTACGCACCACGCACTCGTACTGTCCATAGTCATCCGCCGAGGTACTCTCCACGAGCAAAGCGGATTCAAAGTGCAGCGGATCCACTTGTCGCTCGACGCTCGTGAATTTGTTGCGACGCTGCATCTTGAGATCCTTGCCATGACGACGCCAAATGAAACTGGGCTGTGGCGAGGCCAAAGCACGGCAAATGAGCTGTGCCCGAACGCCCAAACGAGCTGCAAAGCGGGTGTAGGCAGGCGAGTGATCAATCTCTGGGGATGCTGCAATCAATAAAGGATTCGATGTTAGCTGCTATAAAGGATTGCACAGAAGATGCTTTGCTACTTACTCTGTACGACAAGGACAACATTCTTTGAAGCTGGTGGTCCACGTTGATTGTCCACAGTGCAAGTGAAATTGCCAATATCCCCACGCTGAACATTATCAATGTGCAATAGTGCGGTGTTGTTCTCAAAGGTGGAAGTGGTGCGTGTGGCTAAATCGTAGCCAGGTCGTGACCAACGCACATGGGCTGCTTCCAGTGGGCGGGCTTGCACTTGACAGGCGAGGACAGCCTGTGCGCCAGATGCAAAGCTTTGACCCTCGGTGACAGAGGTAATAATGGGTGCATCTAATTGAAGAGCAAAATCAGCAACTGGCCAACTTATCGAGGGCGCCTTGGCTACGGCTACCCTATGACTACTTACATTCGACAATCACTTGAATCTCCAGCATGGCTGTGCCCTGTGTGTTGAGTGCCTCGCACACATAGACCCCGGCGTCATTGCGGCCCAGGCGACTTATATTGAGACGAGGTCCATCAGATATCAGACGCTGGCCGCTCAAGGGGTTGCTGCTAATGGGCAGGCCATCTTTGGTCCAGGTATAGCTAATGGACATGGGATTACCACTGGCATGTAGTTCCACTTGTAGTGGTGCGCCTTCCACGCCCACAAAGCTGGTAATCTGAGCAACGTCGAACTTGGGAGGAACTATTCACGATAGAGGTGGCTATTCAGATGGGATATATCGACAATGGATTGGTTGTGGGCACTTACAGAGTATGTCCAGGCTGATGGTCTCGTGAACGCTGCGCTGCAGTACTTCGTTGTGACTCTGACAGGTATAGATGGAGCCATCGAGATCTTGGGTAATGTTCACGTGCATCTCCAGGGTGGACACCGAACCGCCCCAGAGACCAGGCCTGTTGGCCAGATTGAGTCCTTCCACTGGTATGCCATCCTTCCACCAGCTGATTTTCGCGGGTGGATTGCTCGAGCTGGAATCACAGATGAGTTTGGCTCGAATGCCGGGCACTAGGTTCTTGGGTGCAACACTTATTTTGACTGTCTCCGGTGGAACTAAATGGGCAAAGCAATCACAATAGATGAGGAACCAGCCCAGAATGCTTGAGTCAGTCGAATTACTTACAGTGTACGCCGAGGGTCTTTGTGGCGAATAATGGTATCTCGATAGCCGCATTTTGAACCTCACATTTGTAGATGGCATTGTTATCAGAGGCATTCACCAGCAAAGAGAGCTCCGAGCTGATTTTGTTATCGGTCACCTTCGAGGCGGCGTTCAAGCGCTTATCGTTCTTGTACCATTGCAATGTGGGTGGTGGATTGCCACCAGCGGAGCTGCATTGCAGTTTCAGAATCGAGCCGGAGATGAGAATGTCACCGTCGTTGTAGCCGGTCAGTAGAGGCGGCGAGGGAGGATCTGTGGAACAGAAGCGGCTAAAGCAAACTGCGCGTAATTGACCCTAGGTTCCTGATCCACTTACACAAAACATTCACCGTGTGCGAACCGACAACATTCTGAGAGAGCTCCGCGTTAAGCGCATGACAAACGGTGATGAAGGTCCGACTCTGGGAATCGATATTCAAGGTTATGTTGGAGCTGCTCACCCAGCCACCATCAGCGCTGATTGTCGTCTTGTAGGTGCTGTTATTCAATGGACGCCCATTCATGGACCAGTTGATGCGCGCCGGAGGATTGGAGGGAGCTGTCACGCAGTTCAGCTGCACAGCGTCGCCGACTTTTGCATGGGTAGCGCCGCTCAGGAAAACATCCTTAGGTGCGTCTGTTTAGAAGGAGCTTGACGTTACAGGCAACTGGGGACTTAAGGCTAATCTGCGCAACTTACATAGGACAGTCAGATTAAGTTCGGCACGCAACGGAGTATTGGACAGCAGGTTTTTAGCCTCGCAGACCAAATTGGCGCCATTATCCGATGCATTGGCCGTGAATTTGTACACATTTTCCGAGAGGCGACCCGACGTGCGTTGCGGTGAGCTAATGACCTCGCCATTGCGATACCAAACCAACTGTGCTGGAGGATTGCCACCACGACTCCGGCAAGCGATTTGAACCTCCTGACCACGACGCAAAGTCTCGCCTTGGCTGTAGCCCTCAAAGAATGGCGGGCCGGGTGGGTCTGATGGGATGTGGTGGAAGTAAGACTTAGTTGCTGGCGAATACAATTTAGGGGTTTCTTGACTTACATAGCACAGAGAGCTGCACTTGAGCGCGCATGGGCACATCCGGAGGCAGCGCCTTGTGTCGCGCCTCGCACGAGAATTCCTTGAAGTCATCGTCAGAACGCGGAGAAAGATGCAACGTGGAGCTGGTGCGGAAACGCTTGGCCGATGTTTGATTTATTGAGACAATGGGCGCTGCAGGAGGCAGCCAAGTTAGACAAGTCGAAATGGACAAGCTTGAGTAAAAACCTTACCCAATGTCATCGGCGTCTCGCCCTGATACCAAACAATCTCTGCCGCCGGATTGGCATTCTCGGTGATGCACTGTAGCGTAAGGTTTTGACTCTCGATGACCTCCACCTTGGCGTTGCGTGCATAGCCATCAATGGAAATGCTGCTGGGTGCTGCCACAATGCTGAGCTTGGCATTGGCGCGAATGGCCGGGTTGCCAGCGGCCGGGCCCACCTGGCACTGGTACTCAGCATCGTCCTCGAGCGTGGCGTTCTTAATTTGCAAATTATATATGCCATGGGCGGCATCCACCAACACCGAGTAGCGCGGAAAACCGGGAATTACTGCTGAGAAACCTAACGCGAAGCCATCCTTTGTCCATTGAACCTTCCCTGCGCGCGAGGACACCTCACAGCGCATCAGCGTATCCGTGCCCTCCAGTATTTGTAGATCGTGGGGGGTAACGCGGAACTTTTGCACAGCGAGCGAGGCGGGCGAGGCGGTCGAGGGGCTGACTACCTGGGCACTGCAGGTGACGCCAACTGGGAGAAAAGAGAAAGAGGAAATTCGCATATTGTTAATCGGCACGTTCGACAATTGCGCACGTAGTTGGCAACTGCAGCAGGCGGCAGGCGGCAGCGAGCACCTAGTTCAATTGGCAACGCAATCGACGAATCGACCTGTCACACGGCCCAGTCACAGTCACACTCACAGTCACAGTCACAGTTACAGTTACCTACTTTTCGCAGCCCACACATAAAATAACCATTACTTAAGCGTAAGACCCAACGACGCAGCCCAGTCACATCTCACTAATTTGGAACAACTTTTATTTTATTTTATTTTTCTTGTTTTTTTTTTATTTGTTTCGCACACACATGGCTCACATGTGTGTAGGTGTATGTGTCAGGGCACTTTCAGACTGTCATTGAGACATGGACATGTCCGTCCGCCCGTCCGTCTGAGTCTCAGTCTTCATCATGGTCTGCCCGTTGCCAGTCTGTGTGTCGCTATATCAACCCACACCGAAACGATGTAGGTCTCCAGCTTGCGGCTCATTAGCATTAAAATGTCTTAAAGAAAAGAGCAGGCCACGTTCGATACCAAATTGAACCGACTACTTAGCTGTGTATGTGTTCGAGTGTGTCTGTGTGTGAGTGTGTTTTGTCGTCGACCTAATCAGCATTAGAGCAATCTACATAGGTAATACGTATAAAAGCACGCACAGTGTCACTAGGTCATAGAAAACTTGTCCGAAGGGCTGAAGAAAAATCATGTCAAACTTTGTAAAAGCTAAGATCTAGAAAAGTATATTAAATTTATAAAATAAAGTGAGAGCTCTGGTTAAATGTCTTGCCTAAGGGACTCAAACATTCAAACTTCAATCTTAGTAGATAATATAAGGCAGCTAATAAGCATTACTAACATTTATTAATGTGTAAAAAGTGCTAATTAAAGCCAACGCTGAAGGTTAAATTAATATTCAGTTCCATATATCTCTAGTGACTTTTTTATTTCGCAACTAGCATCTCATTTTTAAATCAATTTAAGTCATTCCATATTTCGAATTGGAATTTAGCTACTGCCATTAATTAACATTCAGAAAGCAACATATAATTCTCAGCTCATTTGAAACTTGGCTGCCAATCAAAACAAGTTCAATTAGTTCCATTCCATATAATTCAATTCCCAGACAAGCCAATGCTAAATTAAACTGGTTAAAAAAAAAAAGACAATATGTTTTTATAAAAATATGTATAATTGATTGCATAGTTTTTGTGCCACTGTGCGGGACAGGAACCAGCTGAGGCAAACATCCAAGCACTGCGTGAGACGTGCCTACAAATGGTTCAACAAATAAACGTCGCTGTCGTGGACTTCATCAATGGATTAATTGATTATTTGTCGTACACAACAGCCGACAGGCCGAGGCTGCACGGTCTTGAAACGAGCTCGATTTCCGTTCGACTTGGGCACGAAATGAACTACAAATAAATATATATATGTATATATACATCTGCATAAAATAGAGCTATCCATTGTGGATATGATTTGGTCACAACGGAAACGCAATGCAGCGACCACCCGCAGCTGCAAGTTAGTCATTCGTTATTCTTGGTGTTGGGGGCGCGCTTCAATTTGCATAAGGCCGCATTAACTTGGCCCAAAGTTCAAGCAATTAAGACCAAAGACCAAGAGAGACAGTTGACCAACTGCAACTACCACAGCAAGAACATTTCCTGCGGCAATTAACCAACAACAGCAACAACAACAACAAAACTGCACAACTTGACAGGTTTTGCGACGACAATGACAACGACAACGACAACAACAACGACGAGAAAAACAGAGGCCAAGCCCAGGCCCCGTCTCCGGTTGGCTACAACTCATTTAGTGTCATTACGAGGTGCCCCCCAACCCCTCTTCCATATACATATGTACTTATACATTTGTATATGTGTATACCTTGGCACATGCAAGAGAATAAGCAATGGGTAATTGTCACACATATGCAGGGCAGGATGGCCAACAAAGAAATCCTTGAAGTGTGACAGTAGGAAGCACTGGCAGAGCACAGTTCAGAAAATAAAGAAGAAAACACACAGGCTGCAAAGTGAAGTAAATGAAAGACGAACAGAAGGTGGCTAAAGTAAACCGGTTTACCATTTCATTCATGCGTTCTGGCCGGTGGCCAGTGGCCAGTGGCCAGTGGCTAGTGGCTAGTGTCTGGTGGTTGGTGGAAGGGAAGCAAGGAGTCAGCAGTCAGCAGTCGGTTCTCAAATGCTCTTCCAAGGGGCTGTAATTGTCAACTGGGCCCACAAATTGTACGCAAACTAAACTAACAGCTTAACCGCAAAACCGTTCCATGCCAGCCGATGTTGATGATGCCGATGCCTCTGCCGGTGCCGATGCCTTTGGCCAACAGATTGTTGCTGATGCCTCTGCCGATGCCTCTACCAATGGCGATCCTGTGACTCCGACTCGAACTCGAACTCGGCCACAAGTTAAGTGAGTGTGTGAGCTGGCCTAGGCTAGGCGCAAAGCTTGCTAATAGTTTTGAGCATGGACTACGTCTACGTGTGGCAATGGCAAGCGAAGCGCAACGCCGGATGTCGCACTAATGGTCAGCAGCGCAACCCCTTGCTCGCACAGTCCCTGCTCGGGCGCCAACCTCATGTGCACTGTACTCCACGCCTCTCTGCTTTGTAAGTTAAACTATCTACAAGTCATTAACTCATATAAAGCCAGCGACTGCCGCACAGCAGGCTGGCAGGCAGGCAGTCAGCAGGCCTACACCGTGTGCAACAGAGACCGAGCGATGTTGCTGTCCACAGACAATCCATACAGAAGTGGCCTGGACCTAAACCTGAACCCGGCCCGGGGAGCTGCTACTCTCCTACTCTAGTACTCTGGACCAACGCACATTTTGCTCAATGCTTTTGTTTTTTCCAACCGTCTTTTGCCCGTTGTCTGTTGTTGTTCTTATTTTTTTCTTGTTTCTTTCTGCTGCTGCTGCTGATGTTGCTGCTGCTGATGCTGCTGCTGCTGTCTTATCAAGACCAGTTTCCAGTTTTGCCGCTGTTCCTGTTTTCGGTTTGCTGTGTTTGCCTGCAACTTCAGTGCGTTAATGGAAAATATTGTGGCATATCACAGGAAATCCGGTGAGGTTTTTTCTCGCACTCCTTTTTGCGTCAGGACACTTAGCGTGCACACAGTCAGCAACAACATGAACAAGCACAGCAGCAACAACAGCAACAACAACAGCAACAACAACATGCTCACGAATGACTTTGACAAAATTAACGGTCACATAAATCTTTGCCAAAGAGCTTCTAGGCGCTCTTTGCGGCTTTGCGTTATAAATTTAATTAAAATTTCTTCCTTTTTTCAATGTTTTTTTCTTTGTTGTTGTTGTTGTTGTTGTTGTTTTTCGTGGCGCGTTTTGTTAATTTAACAAATGCCTTTTATTATATTGATTAAAGCGGCTTTGGTGTCAAATTTGTTGTCAGCTATGTTAAGCGCCCACAAAGTGTTTGGAATTGTTTTAAATGGCGCTGCGCAAAGGATTTCTGGGTAGCCATGACAATTATTTTCAACATGTGGCTTAGAGCTCACCACACAGCAGCAGGAGCAGCAGCAGCAGGAGCTCTCCTCGCCGCGCGCGGATATGTGGAAAGGCTTATAATTTGAAAAGCAGCTAAGTAAATGGTGTGCACTCGATGCTGAGCCGCTTTGGCCAACAGATTGTTGGATCAGTTTTCTCCAAGCTGGTTTCGTTTAACCAAAAGGACATGGAAGAATCGTATTATTTTATTTACAGCACTAGGTGCTTAGTTATTTCTAGAGCTAGAGCTATTGCTAATTTAAGCGAATTGTCTGGCCACAAATTGATGCTCAAATTTCACAGCATGTTGTGATATTTAAAATAGTTTTTTAATCATAAATCGCAGCCCGCATTTCAGTCGTCTATCAATCTTCGTAGCGCAGCTAAACTGGTTTCTTTGTCTAGAATATCAACGTCATCACAGTTTAAAAATATTCATAATCATTTGTTATATTTTTCGGATACGCGTTTCAAATGGTAAATATTTATTATCGAAATAGCGTTAGATTATTTGTTGACTGGCTGTCAATAACAACACAGAATAACAATAGTATTAAATCAATTGAAACATCTATGAAAGATACGTTGGCTTTCGTATTTATTCCTCTATGCATAGACAAATATACTCATTTTCGTATATTGATTCGCTTCGAACTTGTTTTTCATCTTTTCAATAACAAAATTGCCAGCATCCTTTATCCAGACTTCATCTTTCATATTCACTTGTGCCGTCGATTTCAATATTCTCCTTTATTGTCTGTGCTCTCGGCTATCTTTATGGCTCTGCCCAGCCTCAGTCCTTGCCCAGTGTCACGGAGCGAGCATTTAATGTTCGCCTTGGGCACGCTTAATAAATTCAAAATAAAACGCATTTGACTCACGCGAATCGCACAGCCCACAATAACATTCTCAATGGTTCCCAGAATTGGTCTCCTTCTCCCTCTCTCTCAGTCACTTTCTCCTGCTGCCTCTCTGAGCCTGCGAAGCTCTTGGTAAATTTCACACAAATTGCCGCATTACCAAGTCTGTCTGACTGACTGTCTGTCTGTTTGTTTGTCTGTGTGTGTTTGTGTGCACTGATTGAATTATAAAATTTGCAGCTGAACAAATGTGACTAGCCATATCAAATGGTTACACACACACACACACACACACACCAGGAACCCCCTTCCACTACCCGTACCCCTCTCTCCGCCTGCCTGCCAAAAACGGACAGGCTCTTTGGCAGCGACGTTAAACTAATCAACTAATTTGCTATGAACTTTGCGGTCTGCACAAATTAGAGCGCCATTCGAGGGGCAGACCAGTGCCAGTTGAGGGGCAGGGGGAACAGAGGAACAGGGCCAAGTAACCCAGCCAGCCATAGCATTAACATTAATTATTTTCTGCTTCATGAGCATTTTAGATGAACATGAACTGGAGACTGGAACGAAGAAG